TAGATGGTGTAACTGGTGTAAACGGTGTAGACGGTGTAAACGGTGTAAACGGTGTAGACGGTGTAAACGGTGTAAACGGTGTAGGCGGTGTAATCGTTGTAGACGGTGTAAACTGTGTACCGAAAAATCGTGGACACTGATTGCGCCAGCAATGATAATATCTAGTATATGTTCATATACCCTGTCTGCCAGGACATCACCAGGATGGTCGCTACGGGCTTTTCCGGACAGGTGCAAATCATGCAGATGCACCACCCGCAGCCTCAGCGAGACAGAGATAACAGAGGGCAGTCGTGTAAACCAAGAAAAACTGCACTATACTCAACATGTACTTCGGAATAGAATCTCTCAACCATAAAGTTGCTTTGTGAAGGTCAACTGCCTCTCAATCTCTCTCCATCAGATTGAATCCGTCCTCTTTTGTGAAGATGAAGCACCGCAAAGCGTCTTCTGGCGCTTCTCGGCGCAAGTTCGTGCTGCCGAAACTCTGCGCATCAGCGTCAGCTGTAGAGCAAGAAACCCGAGTTGTCATCGCCAACTCTCAAAATCTTTGCAAGGGATTCTGGCCCACACCATAAATGGTGGAGGGTCCAGAGTCCAGAGGGTATTGAAGGATCTCACATGGAAGACCTTCCTGAACACTGCAGACCCCTTGGGTCATGAAGTTAAACTAAACAAATGAATTGCGTTGCACTGTGCGAATGAATTACTTTGCACTGTACTGTGCCATCCGACTGGCCCGTGCCTCATACCGCATTGTACCGCCTTTGTCACTCCACCTTTTCGTCCAAACCTTCATCCACAAGTCCACCAGGCCATCTAGACCTCTCGTGTCAAGGTGCGAAGCCGCCGAGTCGTCCGCGCTGCAGGGACCAGGGAGTCGAAACCGATGAACTTCTGCTTGAGCAAACCTGGCGACATGCCAAAGTCTCTATATCCCCAGGCGCTATCGATGTAGACGCTATGACCAGAGGCATGATGCAGTGACACAAATTTTGGAAGTCCTACTATCACAAAAAGGAGCAGCAGAGCCACCCAAAAATCATCCTTCATTCTTCATCAGTTCCTTTGTTTGGGGGCGCATGGGTCACTCTTGTGAGTCTGTGCTTTCATGTGTGTGTGTCCAAGCTGTACCAAAGGGCACCACTCCATGCAAGTTAATTCAGCTACTGGAAAATTTTTTCAACCTGCACTGCAACATCACGAACGTCGTGTCGCCACACGGTCTTCTGCCCACACACTTGAAGCAAACATATCGCATGATACCACATATCACCCCGCTCACCAGTGAAACGCCGCGTTTACGCCAGCCTGTTTCGCGCTCCCCATTGGCACGGCGCCACGCAAACGCACTTTCCACCAAGGCTGCGCAAATCCCAATGGCACTGCGACATCACGAACGTCGCTGGGGATTCGTGCAGTCAGCGACCAACGAAGACGCTGCACATTTCCTGCGATATGAGTCGAGGACGCTTGACTCGCGTACCTGCGGATGATATGACTTCAATTTTCCCGAGCTGTGTTTTGCTTCCATGGCTCTTCCACGATATACCCCAAAACATTCCCCACCGCTGAGCTAGGTCGTTGAAACACACTGTTGAAACATCTTCAAGTCAGCAGACTCAGCCGCCATTCCGTTACAGCCACCTTCAGTTCCATCAAGTCAAGGGCTAATGCGTGCAAAGTGGAACTTCACCAACTGATTTAGCTCTTGCGAGCATCAATCTAAGTGTGTTTCGCCACAGAGTCCCACTGCGGGCTGTGGTGTGATCCCCAGCGAGGGGCGCACATGTGCACATGCCCTTACGGGTGCCCCTTCCCTGATCCACGGTCTTGCACTTGATCCTTCCATCGTGGACCTTACTCGATCAATCTTTCTGCTCGAAAGTGCCGACCATACGCCGCAGGGCTTACTGAGATCAAATTCCAGAACGGCTTACATCATGCTGCTAAGTATTCACATGCCTTGCTGCTAAGTAGTCATAGGCCAAGCGACGCGATCTGCAAACGTTCCTGCTGTTGCTCTTCCTTTTCTAAGTCATTTCTCGTTTTCTAGATGCTTTTGAGGTGTAGTTCAAGCCTTGGGAGCGCCGCTTGCGGCTTTTCATCACGCCTACGGGCCTGAACCCCCCACACCCCCTCCCACCCTACACCCCTCGCACTTTTCTTTCCTTGCCTTTTTTCGTTTGCTTGGGCTTTCCTTCAGGCTTGTTGGGTCGGCGTTGAGTCAACGCACGCCCTGCCCACCCCCGCACCCCTTGCACCTTTCCTTTCTTCCCTTGCCTTTTTCGTTTGCCCTGTTCTTTCTTTCAGGCCTGTTAGGTTGACATCCAGGCTCGTTTAGTCAATGCACTCCCACACCCTTTCCCCCCCCCTTTTCCGTGCGGACAAAGGAGCGAGCGCCGATCTCCGGCTCCGTGTGTGTGTGTGTCCACCACACCTGTACCAAAGGACACCACTCCATGCAAGTTAATTCAGCTACTGGAAAATTGTTTCAACCCACAGGCAGGGGTCGCTGGGGATTCGTGCAGTCAGCGACCAACGAAGACGCTGCACATTTCCTGTGATATGAGTAGAGGACGCTTGACTCACGTACCTGCGGATGATATGACTTCAATTTTCCCGAGCTGTGTTTTGCTTCCATGGCTCTTCCACGATATACCCCAAAACATTCCCCACCGCCGCTGAGCTAGGTCGTTGAAACACACTGTTGAAACATCTTCAAGTCAGCAGACTCAGCCGCCATTCCGTTACAGCCACCTTCAGTTCCATCAAGTCAAGGGCGGCTAATGCGTGCAAAGTGGAACTTCACCAACTGATTTAGCTCTTGCGAGCATCAATCTAAGTGTGTTTCGCCACAGAGTCCCACTGCGGGCTGCGGTGTGATCCCCAGCGAGGGGCGCACATGTGCACATGCCCTTACGGGTGCCCCTTCCCTGATCCACGGTCTTGCACTTGATCCTTCCATCGTGGACCTTACTCGATCAATCTTTCTGCTCGAAAGTGCCGACCATACGCCGCAGGGCTTACTGAGATCAAATTCCAGAACGGCTTACATCATGCTGCTAAGTATTCACACGCCTTGCTGCTAAGTAGTCATAGGCCACGCGACCCGATCTGCAAACGTTCGATTCCTGCTGTTGCTCTTCCTTTTCTAAGTCTTTTCCCGTTTTCTAGATGCTTTTTAGGTGTAATTCAAGCCTTGGGAGCGCCGCTTGCGTCTTTTCATCACGCCTACAGGCCTGAACCCCCCCACCCCCTCCCACCCTACACCCCTCGCACCTTTCTTTCCTGATACTGCTCTTGCGAGCATCAATCTAAGTGTGGATGTGAGGTTAGGGAGAGGGGATTCGGACCGCACACATCTACAGGTCAGACCAGAATGACCAGAATGACCTGACTGGATGTGGGTCATGCGAGGTGTAGCATGAAGTTCTGACTTTGGACCAGACGTGCCCAGTGCCTGTTCGGGCACCGGTTTAAGCAGGAGTGCCGTGATGTCGTTGTTGAGAGACTTCCCCTCACATGTCTTCGGGGAACAGCGCCTGACTGGGGAACCGATGGGAACAGCGCAACGAGTTGCTTCGTGTGCCTCCCCGCCTCGGTTGCCAAAGATCAAGAACTGCAACTCGCGATCGAAGTCCTTTCACTCAAATTACATCCCCGTAGACCCCAAACAGTTTGTGCTTTTCAAATCGAAACTAGAGCTTGCGACGTCCAGAGCTGGGAGACAAAGGATTGCGTACAGAGCGGGCGGACACATCTTAAGAAAGAATTGACAAGCCCCAACAGCAAACCTTTTGGGGAAATATTCTTCAAGTGCGAACATGATGCTGGTCATGCTGCTCAATCAGCGGGGAGCTGACCACGTGAGGACAAGAAATAAAAGCATGAGGAGCGAAGGATGTGACATGAAAGTGGTTTTTGGTACCTGACGTATGCCCTCCGTCCCAATTGAACAGAGAGATCGCTGCCATGCCGCCGAAATCCAATCCGGTCATTCATCCAACGCTTGCCCGAAAAGGAAAACAAAGCTGAGAGAGTTACACAGTGTGGCAGGAATGCAATCCCGGAGACAATCACGCACCCCTTTCAAAGGAGCAAGCACCTTTCACAGGTGAACCTGTTCCAGCGGACAGGGCAGAAACACCAGTGCAACAAAAAGAAAGAAATCACATGGGAGACAAATGAATAGAAATGCTACATGGCCAGCAGAAAAGGGCGGCAGCACCAGTCACAGACCCCGGAAACAAATGAATAGAAATGCTGCATGGCCAGCGGAAAAGGGCGGACACCAGCAGAGACAGACCTGGAAAACAAATGAATAGAATTGTTGCATCGCCAGCGGAAAAGGGCTGACACCAGCAGTGACAGACCTGGGAGACAAATGAATAGAATGCTACATGGCCAACGGAAAAGGGGGGACACCAGCAGCAACGGACCTGGGAGACAAATGAATAGAAATACTTCATGGCCAATAGACAGGGACACACCAGTGACAGACCTGGGAGACGAAAGAATAGAAATGCCGGGGAGACACATAAATAGAAATGCTGCATGGCCAACGGACAAGGGCGGACACCAGCAGTGATAGACCTGGGAGATGAATAGACATGCTGCATGGCCAGCGGAAAAGGGCGGACACCACCAGTGACAGACCTGGGAGACAAACGAATAGAAATGTTGCATCGCCAGCGGAAAAGGGCGGACACCAGCAGTGACAGATGTGGCAGACAAATGAATAGAAATGCTACATGGCCAGCAGAAAAGCCAGCGGAAAAGGGCGGACACCAGCAGTAACTAACCTGGGAAATAAATGGATAGAAATGTTGCATCGCCAACGGAAAAGGGCGGACACCGCAAGTGACAGACCTGGGAGACAAATGATGAATAGAAATGCTGCATGGCCAGCGGAAAAGGGCGGACACCACCAGTCAGACCTGGGAGACAAACGAATAGAAATGTTGCATCGCCTGCGGAAAAGGGCGGACACCAGCAGTGACAGACCTGGGAGACAAATGAATAGAAATGCTATATGGCCAGCGGAAAAGGGCGGACACCACCAGTGACAGACCTGGGAAATAAATGACTTGAGGCCAGGGGAGGAGGTCGAAAGCTAGCCGAATCGCACCGGATGTACTAGTTACATAGTCGGCAAAGCGTGTAGTGATTACATGTTTTGGGAGAAAGGTTGCTACGTACGTACTTTGCGCTAAAGAATGTAAATGTGACATCGCCGACTGGGAAGGGTACATTGGAACAACACGGGCGCACTCGTTGGCAGGCACGAAGATGCGTGATCGGCAAATCTGGGGGGTAAATTTACCCCCCGCTTTTGTATGCCTTGGGCCGAAAAGAGGGGTAAGCATTTCTGGATATTTCTGGCATCACAAGGACTGTGCATACACTAGGGCGTCCGCAGTGTAGGATAAGCACTGGTAAAAGGTATAAGGAGTAGAGTGTCTTGAGGAAATAGCCGGCTTATGGTTATGGCAACTCTGGGGGGTAAATTTACCCCCCGCTTATGCATGAATTAGGTTAGAAATAGGGATAAAGAACTTGTAACAGTGAAGTACAAGTCCTATGCAGCAAGCAGCAGCCAGCAGCAGCAGCAGCAGCAGCAGCAGCAGCAGCAGCCAGCAGCAACCACCAACCAGCAGCCAGCCAGCAGCACCACGCAGCAGCAGCGCAGCACCAAGCCGCAGCAGCAGCAGCAGCAGCAGCAGCAGCACCAGTAGCAAGCAGCAAGCAGCAGCAGCAGCAGCAGCGGTGTCGTCAGCAACAGCAGCAGCAGCACCAAGCCGCAACAAGTAGCAAAGCAGCAGCTACAAAAGCGGCAACCAGCGGCAGCAGCAAACAGCAGCAGCAAGCAGCAGCAGCAAGCAGCAGAGCGGCAGCAGCAGCGCCGTTTACACCAAGCCACCGTTTACACCCAACCAACCGCGTTCACACGTTCAACCGCTACACGGCGCAGCTGGGAGTCGAACCGTGGGGGGGGGGGGGGGGGGGGGGGGGGGGTTAGCGTGATATATCACACTAAGGGGGGGGGGGGCTGACCCCTTCCTTAGTGTGATATATCAAGCTTTAAGGCACACAGCTCATCCCACTACCAATTGCTAAAGCAAAGAAGAACTCAGCTAGCGTGCTAGCTTTCGTGAATAGAAATGCTACATGGCCAGCGGAAAAGGGCGGACACCAGCAGTGACAGACCTGGGAGATAAACGAATAGAAATCCTGCGTGGCCAGCGGAAAAAGGCGGACACCAGCGTGACAGACCTGGGAAACAAATGAATAGAACAATAGAATTGTTACGTGGCCAGCGGAAAATGGCGGACACCAACAGTGACAGACCTATGACAGACCTGAAAGACAAATGAATACAAATGCTACACGACCAGCGGCCAATGGAAATGGGCGGACACCAGCAGTGACACAAAGGGCGGACAGCATCTTAAGAAAGAATTGAGAACCCCTAAAAGTAAACTGTTTGGGGAAAAAGTGGGAGACAAATGCAAGGAAGTGGGAGACAAGCCGGCCCGAAACCCGACTACAAGCATCCAGTGTGGAGACAAATGAAAAGAACTGGGAGACAATTGAAAGGAAATGGGAGACAAATCAAGGAAGTGGGAGACAAGCCAGCCGGGACAAATGAAAAGAAGTGGGAAACAAATAAAAGGAAATGGGAGACAAGCCAGCCGGGAACCCGACCACAAACACCGAGCCTGGGAGACAAATGAAAGGAAGTGGGAGACAAGCCAGCCAGGAACCCGACCACAAGCACGCAGCCTGGGAGACAAATAAAAAGAAGTTGGAGACAAATGAAAGGAAGTGGGAGACAAGCCAGCCGGGAACCCCACCACAAGCACCCAGCCTAAGATGAAAAGAGCTGGGAGACAAGTGAAAAGAAGTGGGAGACAAATGAAAGGAAGTGGGAGACAAGCCAGCCCGGAACCCGACCACAAGCACCCAGCGGGGACAAATGAAAGGAAATGGGAGACACATGAAAAGAAGTGGGAAACAAATGAAAGTGGGAGACACCACAAGCACCCAGCCTGGGAGACAAAGGAAAAGAACTGGGAGACAAATGAAAGGATGTGAGAGACAAGCCGGCCGGGAACCCGACCAGACCATCCCAGCACCAAGGCGACCATTCTTTAAAGCATTGAGAACCCCTAACAGTAAACTGTTTGGGGAAAAAAGAGTGCTTTTGGCTTTTGGCGAGGCCAGTCCCGGAACTGTTCCCTGCGGATTTCGATGTCTAAACATCAGAAACGGCCAATGCCTTTTCAGGAGAGGAAATCTTGAAACTCTGGAGAAGTCTCAATAGAATTTCTATCTTGAAATTGATCATAAACGTTTCTGCTAGAAACAACCAGGAAGAGAACCTGTCCTTCACGCAGGAGATCTTCTCCAAAACCATGTCCTTGTCCTCGGGCCTGGATGCCAGACTATTGGCCTTAGCTTTCGCATCTGGCATCTTGGTAAAACAGAACGGTTCAGCCAAAGAACCCAAAGAAACATCGTTCGTGTTGTTTGAAATTAACCCTTTGTCTTAGACCAGGATGGCACTGAGGTATATGGGTTTCACTTGGGGATTTCGATTTCTGGTCTGTCTACCCCAGCCATATACCAGCTTGCTGGCTCAAGAATCCACGCCAAGAAACCACTGAAATGCTGGCCAACTTGGCATAGGCAGACAGGTCTTCTTCATCGAAGTCAAATGGACTGTTGGAATAAAGGCAAATCCGCTGTGGGATGTCAGCATCATGTGCTGCCACCAATTCCGCGACACACCATGCTCGCTCAAAGACTTTGAAGTCGCCATCTGCCACAACAAGCTGCCGGAAGTTCGGCTTCTGCTGTTGAAGCCAAAGCATCATGGAATGAAACTTGTTCAGTTCGCATTTGTCTGGCTGATCATTCAAAACTTTGGGCTCCTTGCAATCGCAAAGGCTCAACAGTTGACCTGTCACTGTGTCTCTGCGGTTCCGTTCCCAGCGAGCAAGCGCTGCTGGATCAGAAGGAGCCTCTCCGACACCATTACAAATGCTGGCGTGCTGATTCACACAGAAGCAGCAAATCCAGTATCTGTTGTGCAGCACACCCTTTGCAGCAAGCTTTTGCTTGATCTGTATGAGTTTGCCACTGCTCATCTTTGATGCTATCTGATGATATTCATCGAGCCGTAGTGCATCTGACACGATGGCAGCAACCAAGTGAAGGAAGAGGCCAGACCAAGTGTGAGTCACCATACAATCTGGCATCTGCTGGCTCAGCTTACCTCTTGAAGCCAGCACATCGGTGTAAGCAAAGCCTCTTCCTTCCATCCTGGAGAGGGGAATGACGGCCTGCCGGACTACATCTGCTGTGGTCGACAGGAAAGGATCGAAATGCTTCATCGTCTCTCCTCCCAACTTGTCATAGAAATCCAGCAGGTTCTCCAGATCGATGCTGCGATGAGCGAGCTCCTGCACCTTGACATTCCACTCCGTGTTACTCAGATCTCTTTTTAGCTTGCATGTTCCACGCATGGTGTGTATCTCAGGCTTGATGTCCGGCATCTGAGGCTTCAGGATTCCCACAATGAAGATCAGCCCAACGAGCTCACCAACGATGTCCAGCAAGTGGTATGCTGGAACCAGGATGGGACGAAAGGAGCCATGAACCAGGAGCACCGGAGGAATGCAAAGGAGGTGGGATGCTGAACTCACTGTACATGAAATCTTCACAGCCAATGCCATGCGCCTGAAAGCCTTTAGAGACCATTCCTTCTCCAGCTTCGCAAAACATTGATCGGGAAGCACGGTTTGCTCCAAGGCCTGAATCACGGTGTCAAAATCCTGCAAGCACACGTAGAGGGTGCACAAGACCTTGGCGGCTATCATGGTGACACATGCTACTGTGAAACATGCTTCCACTGACATTTTGACCCCGCGACCCCGGCTTTCGGACCAACCAAGCGACACCACTGCCAGCCACGAGGTGATAGATGGCTGAAGACCAATCAACGGCGAGCTGCGAACTGGTTTGCAGGTATCCACGGACCACATCGAGACTAAGTTGGAGAATCAGAAATACTCGGCGAATCCTGCGAACTCTTCCAACGCCCATCTTCATGCCAAGGCCCGTTTCAAGGAGAGACAATCGACATTGGAGCAAGTAGGTAAAATTGAATTCGAGACATGCACAGTTGAAGCGGTGGAACGTAAGTGCCATAATTTGGACTCCGATTGGAACACTATCCCTCATCATGAGGGAGTGTGCAGCACCTAGCAGCCAATAAGACCATCCAGTCATTATATACATCTGGAGTTCAGACACAAGCATGGATGATGGATCAACTCCCCTCCAGAGGAAGTTGAAGAGGAGAGACAGGGCCCAGTGCATGGCTGCGAGTGTTTGGTATCCGCAGAAAAGACGCGTTGGTGAGAACAAGGTCGAAGCTGTAGGTGCTTGATGTGGCATCGGATTCACGCTATACCAGCACAGCAAGCTCACCTTGAAAGGATCGAAATTAAGGCGTTCAAAAACAACGAAGCTCCGCAAAACGGGGGACCTCTCTGGCAAACGCCAAATTTCATGGATCGAGTCATCCTTGATTTTCCACGACTAAGTTGCCTGAGCCATCATCAGAAAGAGCATGACATAGATGTAGAAAGTGCTGTTTCTTTGCTGTTCTGGTGCCTTTTTCACGGAGCCTGCCTCCGAGAAGACCTGCGAGGTGGAGTTGGACATCCGTGTGTGTGCCATCTCCTTGGATGGCACCTGTGCGGGTTGGTCCCTCGCTTTGAGCCTACGTCGAAAAGAGGTTGGAGAACAGATCGGACGCTACGAACGTAACTCCTGGCCCTACTAGGAACAAGGACGCTACTAGCCAAGGGCATCGCTACTAGTAACAAGAAGCTAATTAAGAAATAAAAATAAAGCCTGGAAAGGTCCCAGGAGCGTCCAATTTCACCATTTTCAAATCGCCATGCGCTTCGACATGTGGACCGACGACGTGGTCGCAAACGGAGCAGCACGGTCCGGCGTTTCTGGGTTCCGCGGGCAGTTTTGATGCAGCAAGCACCTGGTCGGTCTCTCCATGCACTCATTGGCCAACATGTGTGGGCTTAAATTCAAGGATGCTGTCCTCAACATCAAATGTAAGGAAGCTGTCCTTAGCATCAAAAATCATGGAACGTGTCAACGTGTCGTTCATGGTATCAAACCAAATCGTTCGACCAAAGTCGACAAAATGAGTTTGAATCAGATTCAAACAATTGGCTAGACATGGTAGAGGGTTCATCGGGTACATCTGCACAGGACCGATCTCCTCCGCCAGCCCTGTTCATAGGGTCCTTGCCCTAAAAAGGGTCTTGAGTGTCGTGCACTTGTACATTAAAACACCAATTATTACAGTAACCCCGCGGCAAGCTTCACGTCGCCACCTTGGGTCATTCAACCCACACGCTGGTGAGTCACATCATGCTGGTGATGTCCACATCTCTTGACACGAAGAAGCGACAAGCGACTCACTGCTCACTTGCTCAGGTGCGCTTTGTCTAGAAAGAATGAATTGCCATAATCTTTGGCCCAGAGAAGAGAGCTAGCCGGAAAAGAAAAGAAACGATCACTTGGCCAAGCCACCTCTGACCTGGTCCCATACCGCTTGAAGCCGCCGAGACGTCCGCGCGGCAAGGGCCAAGGAGTCGTAACCGATAGACTTCTGCTTCACCAAACCTGACGTGAATGCCCGAATATGCCCTACATGCATGGAAGAGCAGGCATTGAAATGTCGCTTCTGCAAATGTGGTTTGTAATTTCAGACAAGACGAAGATAGGGTTGGTCGTAATATGCAAGTACGCAAGTGAGTACAGGAGCACGGTTTCGGAAACTAGGATTCGGAAACTGGAATGGTGGATTCGGAAACTCGGATTTCGAAACTAGACCTTCACCCCACCAACCCCATCCCACCCGTGCCCACTGTTTGCAACTTCAAAAGAATGTGTAGCGGGAGCGCAGTGGTAGCTGCTAAAAGAAGGGCTCAAACGAAACCAACCAAGTCGAACGAAAGCGGCAGGCGCTTATGGCTTTTCCTCAAGACCTCTGCGGTCTGCCTCTGAAAAAGGGGCCCCTGAGCATGAACGGCCACCGGAGGGAAAAGGTGGCTCAACCAAACTACATGGAAGCTCGACGCACGTGTTGCACCGGTAAACAAAAAGACTCAGACTTTGTCTGATGAGCATCGAGCCTGGCCAGCGCTGTCTTGCCGGTCTTCTTGTTCTTCTTTGCCGCTGTGAACGTGGGATCGAAGTTGATCGCCCACTTCCAGCTCTGCAGGAACCTTTGAAGGCCCAAGCGGCTGTCCAAGCGCTTTTTGGTCAGCGCATCTCCAAGGTCCACCAGGTCCACCATGTCCAAGCCACGAAGGCTCTGGATCTTCAGTCCTGCGCCATGGATTTCTGCCCATAGAAGGCGGCATCGGAACAGGACATCTTCCGTCTCCAGAATCGCCTGGACCTCTGCGTCGTTGCTTCCCACCGCACGACGCTTCAGCTTCCAAGTCCGCCAGGCCAGGAGGCTCATCCTGCAAACATGTCCGGCCTTGCAAGCCGGCGAAGAGGCCAGGATCACGAAGCCACCCGCGCTCTCGCCTTTGCACCTGTTGTTGTGGGCCTGATCGCCCACGCCGACGAACACCACTTCAGACCAGTGGGAAGTGTCATCGAACTTCACGAACTCGAGGGATGTGGCCTGAGCACGGCATTCAGCAATCATTGCCTGAATCTCCCTGGCATGCTCCAGAGTTCCAGCAGTCGTGACCTCGGAAAGGAGCAGGATGCATCTTGCCGTCAGGAGAGGCTGCGATTGCACAGCGAGCCATTGCAGGGCTCCCAGGGCTGCCCGGCAGGCGGCGACCTCTGAAGGTCTGAGAACATCTTGCTCGCGAAGGCGGTTGGCATCGATGTCAATGTCCATGAGGCCTTCCACATAGCTGTTCTGGTCGACCACAATATTGAAGTTGCCAGACTTGTCAACCACAGTGTGGACGTCGGAGCCAGCGTGCCGGTAGGAACCTTGTTTCATTGTTCCCCACTGGTATGCAGTGTCGATGAGACGGCACACTTCGTTCCATTCAGCTGAGCTTTCATCACCAATCCTGTGGAAGTCGTCCACGTGTCCGCCCATCAGACCGATGAGGCGAGGGTGATCACCATGTGGATCTTTTTCGTGCCGGCTGTACCATGCCCAAAGACGTCGTTCGCCTCGAACCACATGGCCACCGAGAGAGGTGAGTTTCTCATTCAGCGACAGCCAAAGTCCTCGGGGTGCAGCGGTGCTCCCGTAGATGTTCCGGAGGATCCGCAGGCATGAGTCTTCCGGAGCTCCAAGCACAGCACGAAGTTCCGGCACACCGTAGGTGTAAAGCTGGTTGTCAGCAGCTGTGGGCTCCGTCTGTAGGAAAGCAGAGGCGAGGTCAAGCCCTTGCAACTTCCATTGATGGATCGCTGAAGCCATGTAGATCATATGGCGTCCCAAAGTGGAGATGACCGGGGCGGACGTCTTGAAGTCGCGCTCCAGCAAGCTTGGGTGTTGGAAGCCGAGCAAGACAATTCTTGCTTTTGCCCTTTTGGTGGGGTTGTTGAGTTGATCATGTACGGCTTCTTGATGTTCATCAGGAGTGACCGGTTTCCAGGTCAGTACCCATCTTGCTTTCAAAATGCGCCCACTTCCAAATGCCTCACGAGCTTCCTCATCATCTAGGCAGCGCCGGACTGCGCTGCTGGGCAAAAATGAAGCGACCTCCTTGGACTTGGCCCGGTTGAAGAGCACCAAGTCCTGAGCGCTAACATTCTTGAGGTTCACCTCGGAGGACGGGGTCCTGCATGAAGCTTCGGCGTTGTCGCCGGTTCTTGAGCTCAATGTCCACTTCAATGGAGAGGCACTCACCATCGTAGGACTCCAGAAAGCGTAGGACTCCAGAAAGGCGAAGAGGTCATGGTGGGTGGTGATCTCATCTTGGGCTTACTCGCGAAGCAGATCCAGCCATTTGAGGTCATACTCAGTCTCATGGTCGCCACGACGGCGTTTGACATCCGGCTCCTTGGCATCAGCCAATTTGAGCTATCTGGCTCCTCACTTTCTCCATAGTCATTGACCCTTGCTGAAGACGAAGGCAGGGACGTAGTACCTTCTGGTTCTGGATCACCGCCTGGCTCTGGATCTGGTAGAGACGGCGTGTACTCCTCATCGGGAACCTTGAAGTCTTCCGATGTTGGTGTTGCCCGTGGAGGAGGTATACTATGGGCCAATGACATGGCCTTCGTAAGCAGAAAGTAGGCCTTTCTGTGACCTCATGACATGGCCTTGGCGCACCACCCAAAAGTATGGTTTCAATGACATGGGAGTCCCTGGGGAGGTTCCCTCCAACGAACTAGATAGTAAACACAGCGCGCGTGACATAGCACCTATGCACCGCACCTGTTTCTTTCGGGTCCAAGTTGGTCTTTGCACAGTGGATCTGTTGTACATTATAGTGAATGAGTGTGAGGCGGGTGGACCGCTCAGCTGTATTACGCATCTGAATATTTTTGTGTGTAATACAGGGGTTTGAGCCAACAAATGCCGTGTCATGCTTGCTGCTGTCTCCGTCTGTTCAGGTAACGACCACAAAAAAAGTCTTTTTTTGGCACCCTGTTTGTCCTAGCCAGGACAAATGACATGGCCAGGGTGCAAAAATCCAGGTATGTTTTCATAACGCCACGTCACTAGCTCATAGTATAAATATTGTTTTGGAGCAGAAGGCGCTCGCGCTTGACCAATGGGACTTGATCGGCGCACGACCTTGTAGTCGGAGTCCTTCAGGGTGGATTTTCCCACAGCTCGGCGAATAGGAGCCAGCGTAGTCTCATCAGGAGCCGCTGGTAAGTCAGGTAGTTCCTGATCAAGTTCGCCGGGTTCTTCATCAAGAAGATCCGTGTACTCCTTCTTGGGGATCATATCGTCCAAGGACTTCCATTGTGTAGTATCCTCACCTGAAGAGATCTCGCGTCGAAGGCGTTCGGTCTCATTTGCAGGCCTGACAGAGTGGACGGAGCAGCGAAGGAGTTTCCTTCCAAAAAGAACCCACACGATGTGCTGCCTCTTGTCATCAGCGTCCTGGTGAGGAATTGCTTCCGCAAACACAACTCTGCCAGGTCCAACCCATTGAGGTCGTCCGGACTTCTTGTGTCCACCGCGGGAGCCTTGATGTTGTTCGCCAGCTTGAAGTTTGCGCCAGACCATTACCAGTTCGGTCGGCGCGTACTGTCGGACAGGCTGTCGGACAGTGGTATTGGCCAGCTTACTCAACACTCTTCTCGCACGCGATCGACGCGCAATTGGCTTCAGAGCGAGCCTTGGTGATCCTGAGAAAATCTTCTTTGGGCTCAATGGCATTCCAGATGCGGATGTCTTCAACGCTGATGGAGTACTTGGTGTCAAATGCCCATTGGTGAGAAGAGTAGCCAGCACTGTACTCTGTACCATTCAGCGCTGAGGCGGCCAGTGTTAGAGTCATCTCAGGACTGTTGCTCAGGTTCTCTTGATGGATGGCGGTTGCCACATGATCATGTTTGATGTCAGCAACGGCGGCCTCCACAATGCCATGGCTCCACGGTTCCTTCTCAGGAGGGTAGTGTACTTGAATGTTCTCCGACTGGAGGAAATCGTGGAACTTCGAAGAAATGAAGCGCTTTGCACTGTCAGCCACCACCAGTTTTGGTCGTGGGTAATGTCCAAGCCAGAGATGAACAAGGGCTTGAATGATCTCATCGGTTGCCTCGGGTTGCATAGCCAACTCTGGATAGAGCTTGAGAAGCACCACAACACGAAGCTTCGTGGCCAGATCAAGCATGCCGGTGACTGCCAGGGCATACTTTGGCTTTGAAGCGCTGGCGAAAGAAGGAACTGGTTGTCCGGATCATCCATCGTTCCCGGAGAAAGTCGCCAGCACCATCATTGGCACGTAGACCATAATTGCACCCATCAACACGGCAGGGAGCCAGTCACGACCACGAGCTTGAAGGAGGTGAGCAATGTACTCCAGGGGTCGTTGATTCCATCCTTCACAAGGCCAAGGCCATTCCCAGTAAATGTCGGTCTCGGGGTCCTCGTTGAGGGTGTCCTCAATGAAGTGAGCTGCTTGCCACAGCATGCGTCGCTCCCGACGGCGGTAGGTAGCCAGCAGTTCTTGGCGTTCTTCAGTGGCATAGTTGAGCTTGGACCATTGGCACCACTTGGTGCATGGAAGACTGAACCACAGTCGCCGGGGACGATGATGGCGTCGAAGACCTTAAAACGCTCCCAAAGTTGCCGTCTTATAGATGTCATAGCCCTGTTGGAGGTTGATCCGGCGAGGTCGAAGACCCTGTTAACAAGCTTCACTGAGCCACGAGTGCGGTGCACAGGCAATCTCCCAGATGCCATCTTGCTCATCGAGGACGAAGTCCATAGTTGTGGATGCCATAGAGCTCAACAGCGTTGTAGCCATCAAGAGCAGCTTCGAGGCCATAGAGCTCTTTAGGGGCATAGTGGAAGAGGTCATTGAAGGCAGGCATCCTCCTCGTAAGCCTGAGCGAGCCCGGTCATGGCGGCCAGCTCTTGCTCTTCCATCACGGCCTTGCGTTCCTCGAGGAGCTGCATGAGCTGTTCCATCTCCTTGGGATTCAGCAGCTGCTTGACATCCTTCTCGAAGTGGTCGGTCGGTGGAGGAGTGCAAATCTCCCATGAGGAAGGACTGGGTGTCTGACCCTTGGTCTTCTTCCTCGAAGTCGGAGTCGCCGGTGAGGTGGAAGGATACCCGGTGCTCTTCACCACGGCCTTGCCCGTCTGCTCCGGCATATTGCGTTCCCCCTTGGATCTTGGAGATCTGGCGGCGCACGAGGTCCTCCAGGACAATGTCCGCGTCCACCTTCTTCTGCGTGGCATGGACGATCTCGGCCGATGACGTTCCGAGTTCATCAAAACTTTCAACTCATCCAGCATCCGTTGAACCAGGGGTGGAGCATCGGTCTTGGTGTTCTGGCCACGGGAGCCCTTGCGAGGCACGTACATCCAGCGGATGTTGCACACTTGGCAGTGTTGCCACAGACCGTGAGGGTTCGCTCGGACTGAGCCCAGATGATGTTCCCCGTAGCACGGCCATTGCTCCGGATTCATCCGAGGGTCTCGTGGATCCGGTCCGACGAGGTGGATCGAAGGGCCGAGGTGGCTCCTTCTCGCGGCTGCCGGTGATCTTCTCCCGAAAGTCTGCGGCTGCCGTCTTGATGTCCCAGATCTTGTTCCCCTGCTCTTCGGTCAGCTGGCTGCCCTTGCTCCGGGACATGGCAAGAGTGGTCCGGGGAAATCGAATTGGGCGTCGGGCTTCCAGCCACGTGCCTTTGAGCAGCTGAGAGCTGAAGACGGCGGCCACAAACATAAGCATGTAGTGTCATCAACTGTTGACGTGACTGCCGAAGACGTGCTTCATCATGTTCATAAACAACTCGTGCATGTTCTTGTGAAAGGAGCTCCAAAGGCATGAATTGAAGTGTATGGTGGTCGTTGATCATGTTGGGGTTGTCTTTCTCAATCACATGGATGTGGGGATGCCCGTCATGACATGAAAAACCACGAGTGAGGAAAAAGGCGATGTCCAACATGTAGTGACCCTTTTTGTTCTTTTCCAACTGGTAAATCTCTGGTTGGGCCTCATGTGAATCCAAAGCAAAACCTGTTGCAAAATCAACCATCATGGATGAGTGAGGGCCCGCCAAACCGCTGAAGTCAACGAGACACGATAGAGTGCTTGTCCCCATTTGCCGTTCCCGAACCTGAAGTAGGGCCGATCTTCTTTGTGAATCGAAACCACGGCCTGTTGGCCACGATCAACGATCGTTGAGATCAGTTGCTCAACTGCAATCTGAGGGCCAGCAGAAGCTGTAGCCCCGCAATCCAGGAGACCATGTGTCTCAGGTGGAGAAACTGTGCGCTCAGTCTCGTTGATCTGAGCCTGCACATCTAAGGCACCAAAGAGCATCTCAGTGTTGTAGGCATTGACGGAAGGTTGTCCCATTGGGGCACTGGACTTGCCCTTTCCCTTTTTGCCCTTCATCCAGGCTTGTGCATCGAGCCAGTGGGCGTGTTTGTCCTTTTTGCCACCCTTCTTGCCCGTGAAGAAGTCGTCGTACGTGTACGGGTCATATTCAATCATGTAGTTCAATTTACCCTTGCCTTTCCCCTTGTATGGTCCAGGGTGTCGACGGTCAGGGCATTCTCGAGAAAGATGAGGGCCTCCACATTGGAAGCAGGGACCACGGCCTTTTCCCATGCCAACCGAGGGCGGTTGCTGCCCAAAGCCATGAAGACCAGTCCTCTTGTCCCCAATCACCGGAGACATGAAATGAATCCCAAGTGGCAGGTTGCCATTCAGTTGAAGAGAATTGGATGCGAAGAGCGGCTTCCGGTGAATTGCTCGTCCCATAGTGTCTGTAGCGCCCGGTTCACCTCATCGAAGTCGAGGGATCCATGGGTCGCCGACAAGATGTCTCGGCGTTCATCAGCACTCAAACCTGCGGCCTGGAGTAGGCGAAATCCTCGGAGGACTCTGAGTACGAAGGAGTCGGCAAAGCTAAGCTCATTGAGCTCATCGCAGCAGCCAAGGAAGGTTGCACTCCAGCTGACCTCCGGCTTGGTGAAGTAGCCGATCCTTGAGGGACACGTTGATAGCCACCCCCATGAGGTGAACCACTCTCCGCTCGTGACGTAGACGCCGGCAGGGTCGTAGTGGGTTGAGCCAAGTTGGGATCAAAGTCACCATTCTCTGGGTCAGGAGCGTTCTCATCGTCCTGCGGCCACTCAGCCCAATCACCCCACCATGCATCCCATCCGGAGTCATAGTCCTGCTCATAGTCAGCCTCCTCTGCAGGAAGGCCTAAAGTCTTTGTCTTCTTGTCGAATGCCACGCTTCTCCTCAGCCAGGCGTACCAAGGCCTCAACAAACTCAGAAAATCCAAGTGCCTCTCGCACTAGGAACTGGGTCATAGGCTCGTGAGCCTTGCGAGCAAAGCTGAAGTACTGGTTGCAAATCGCCGAGGCGTTGGGGATGCTCTGGCGCACTAATGGAGAAGCGGCCAAGCGTTCCCATAGTCGTCCAGCGACATGTCGCTCCAGCTCATAGCCAGCAACCTCGCCGGGCCGGTGAGGCGAGAAAGAAGCTTGGTGGCAACATGACGGCGCTTTGCCACCGGTGTAGCTCGGAAAAACCAGGAAACTTCTCGAGTGTACTTACGCCACGTTCGTGGCAACCCATCCCACGATGGGATCGTGGGGTTGCCATCCTCTTTGGTCATGCTCAGGGCCGAAAATCAACTCAAAGGAAAAAGAAAGGGGCTTGCCAAGGTCCAGCCGCCCAGTCCGCGCGAGGACAATCTTCAGGATGAAGGACAAGCGTAGATCCAAGGCGCTGGAGCTTGCGCTCCGCTACCATGTAGCGGGAGCGCAGTGGTAGCTGCTAAAAGAAGGGCTCAAACGAAACCAACCAAGTCGAACGAAAGCGGCAGGCGCTTATGGCTTTTCCTCAAGACCTCTGGGGTTTGGCTCTGAAAAAGGGGCCCCTGAGCATGAACGGCCACCGGAGGGAAAAGGTGGCTCAACCAAACTACATGGAAGCTCGATGCACGTGTTGCAGAATGTCAACATCACCCCACCCAAACCCCACCCCCACCATGCAGTTTCTGAATCGGCGAGCTTCTGAATCGGCCAGTTTCTGAATCGGGTGAGTTTCTGAATCTGGACGAGCTGTAGTTTCTGAATCGCCGGAGCTAGTTTCTGAATCATCTTCTGTTCGTGAGTCGAGAGTTGGAATTGGGCTAAAGGTTTTCTGACTGAACATGAGACCGGGGCCTTCCACGAGCAGTTCTTCTGTAGTACCAACAGAAGCATGTCTTCTACACATGTCTTCTGTAGCACTATGTGTACATTGGCCATGTCTTCTGGCCGATCTTTGCGAGTGTTTAGGCATGTTGTAAACTCTCACCATAGATACAGCCCCGCCCCTGCCCCTGCCGACGGGCGTCGGTTGCCAAAGATCAAGTGCTGCAACTCTCGGTCGAAGTCCTTTCGCTCAAAACAATCGAAATCCTTCCGCACGCGGTTGTGCATTGAGCATGAATTGTCCCCATGAATTGCTTAACTTTCTATCTTGACAAGGACTGGCCCTCGCAAAATGGTGGTGGTGCCAAAGATATCCAAAAGCGCCCTTCTGTCCGCGGTCACGGGGCATTTAATCCCGTTTCTTGGACTTCATCTACCCTATCGAGAAACACAAAAAGGCAAAACTGGTCCTTCACGGAGAAGATCTGTTGCAAGACCATCTCCTTGTCCTCCTGCCGCGTTGCCACACTATTAGCCTCAGTTTTGAGCGCATATCTCCGGTGCGACACTGTTGGGCAAGGAGGTGTTGGGTGAAAAGCACCAAGTCATTGTTTGACTTATACCTGCAATCAATGTTCTTTTCGACCAACACCTACCTTTGAGCCAAGGAACCACTGAAATGCTGGCCAACTTGGCATAGGCAGACAGGTCTTCTTCATCGAAGTCAAATGGACTGTTGGAATAAAGGCAAATCCGCTGTGGGATGTCAGCATCATGTGCTGCCACCAATTCCGCGACACACCATGCTCGCTCAAAGACATTGAAGTCGCCATCTGCCGCAACAAGCTGCCGGAAGTTCGGCTTCTGCTGTTGAAGCCAAAGCATCATGGAATGAAACTTGTTCAGTTCGCATTTGTCTGGCTGATCATTCAAAACTTTGGGCTCCTTGCAATCGCAAAGGCTCAACAGTTGACCTGTCACTGTGTCTCTGCGGTTCCGTTCCCAGCGAGCAAGCGCTGCTGGATCAGAAGGAGCCTCTCCGACACCATTACAAATGCTGGCATGCTGATTCACACAAAAGCAGCAAATCCAGTATCTGTTGTGCAGCACACCCTTTGCAGCAAGCTTTTGCTTGACCCGCATAAGTTTGCCACTGCTCATCTTTGATGCTATCCGATGATATTCATCCAGCCCTAGTGCATCTGACACGATGGCAGCAACCAAGTGAAGGAAGAGGCCAGACCAAGTGTGAGTCACCATACAATCTGGCATCTGCTGGCTCAGCTTACCTTTTGCAGCCAGCACATCGGTGTAAGCAAAGCCTCTTCCTTCCATTCCTTCCATCCTAGAGAGGGGAATCACGGCCTGCCGGACTACATCTGCTGTGGTCGACAGGAAAGGATTGAAATGCTTCATGGTCTCTCCTCCCAACTTATCATAGAAATCCAACAGGTTCTCCAGATCGATGCTGCAATGAGCGAGCTCCTGCACCTTGGCATTCTGAGCATTTTTGCTCAGAGCTCTTCGAAGCTTTGCCCTTCCACGGATAGAGGATGTCTCGGACTCAGGCAACTCAGGCTTCTGCAGCACCTGGCTTGCGATGTCTGCCAAGTGGTATGCGGGAGCCAGGTGTTGAGGAAGAAAGCCGCAAACCATGAGCACTGGAGGGATGCACAGGAGATGGGAGGCTGCAATTACTGTGCACAAAACCTGGACAGTGCCGGTCATGCGCCTTAAAACACTTAGAGACCATTTCTTCTCCAGGTTTGCAAAACTTTGATCGGGAAGCACGGTTTGCTCCAAGGCCCGAATCACGGTGCCAAAAGCACGCGAAGAGGGTGTACAAGACCTTGGCAGCTATCATGGTGACACATGCTACTGCGAACATGCTTCAACGACATTGACCTTGGCGATATTGGTGACAGAACTCGGGAGGGCAACCCTCATATCCGCACCCCATGCAGTCTTAACATATATATATATATAAAGGTCAAAGGTCAAAGTGGCTCGAGTCGAGAGGTAGGCAACCAAGAGACGCCCAGGCCTGCTACAAGATGATAGGTAGCTGAGGACCAGTCGGTGAGCTGCGAAGTGGTTGGAACATATTCACGCAGCGCTTTGAGACTCACTGCGAGCATCAGAACCAGCCAGCGAATCACTCGAACTTTTCCGACACCGTTTTCAAGGAGTGCCAATCGACATTGGAGCAAGTAGGAAAAATTGAATTCAAGGAATGCGCCACTAAAACGTTGGAGTGTGAGTGTAATACTTTGGACTCGGGCTGGAGCACCATCTCTCAGGGTGAGGCAGTGCACAGCACCCAGCAACCAATATAACCATCCGGTCATGCCATAAATCTGGAGTGCAGACATGGATGAAGGCTCAGCTCCGAAGTTGAGAAGAAGAAACAAGCCCAAGTCAAGCGTCGCCAGTGTTTGGTATCCCCAGAAGAGACAATTCGGGAAAACCAAATTTGAAGCTGTTGGTGATTGAGGTAGACTTGGACTGACACCATACCAGCACAGCGAGCCCGCCTAGGTACAAGGAGAATTGAGAATCATGTCAATTAGGGTTCTGGGCTTTTGTTTTCTTTCATCTTGTCTGCTGCGCTTGCCAAGATCTTGTTGGTTTTTCCATGGGTTGAGTGAATGCAAATCTTGAGAGGGTTTTTGTACAAGTTGCCTGGGCCATCAGAAAGAGCACAGCAAAGATGTAGCATCTTGAGCGCCGCCTTTCTGGATCCTTCTCGTCCTTCAGCCAGAGTAGTGAAGACGATGAAGTCTGAAATTTAAGCCGATTGTAGCGCACACTTGCCATCTCTCGAGGGTCATGTGCAGGGGCGACGATCCCGAAATGAAATGATAGCCAAAACTGCAGGAGCATGAAGATTGTCAGATCTAACCGCTGACAAGGCAAAAACGCACATGCTTTAGAAAAGTGCCACAACCTCCGAAGTCAGGAATTTTACGGCAAAGCAGCCGCCCATGAAGAGCCAGCTGCAAAGCGGCTGTCGCATCAGATGCAAACAATAAAGACAATAAAGACCTACAAAAAAGAAAGTAGCACATAATGACATGTAATGACAGGTGCCCCCGGATCGCTTTTGCCACAGATTGTTAATGGACCAGTCAAGACTTGCGCTTGTGCAACCGTCTCTTGGCTTCGCGCGGGCCTAAACACACTTCACAGCCAGCTCTGGCTACGTGAGACAGAGCGAGTTGGCATAAAACCGCGGGAGAATCTGCGGATGTCATGCAGGGGCCGGAGGGCTTGCCGACAAGCACAGCACACTCTGTGGCAAACACTGCAGCCCGAAGCAGGTGGAGAGTGACTGCTCTTTGCGGCATGGCGGTGTCCCATGCATTCTTTGGCCGCAGCCTCTCCTTGAAAATCCAATCTTTGGTCTGATCATCTCATCTGGAACTACGTGGCAGCTTTCTACCTTTGCACGCCCTGTTCCCGCCAAGTTCTCTCAAACTTGCCTTGACATGTCCAACTCCATGATTCTATTTCTGGTGGAAAGCATGTGGAAACCCCTACAGGATCCGATCCAAAGATGGCTCGGCCTGGGCCGGTTCCTGTTCAGACCTGCTCGACCAGGCTACAAAGTCGACGAGCCGTCCGAGCCGCAGGGATCAACGCGTCGAAGCCAAAGAACTTCTGCTTCAACAGGCCTCCACCCAAGGGCGGCCGGTTGGCTTCAACGCGCTGCGGTTGGCTCGGCCGTTTGGGGGAGGTGTTTTGGGTCGGGCCTTCATCCAAAGGAGATCGGACCGAGAGCATCTCTACTGGTCGAGCGGAGAGTTGGTTGAGCAGAGTTATTGATTTGGGGTGGTCCTTTGGTTGAAAAGGCGCCAGGACTAGCGTCAGGCCCTTAGACCTTTTTGTGGAGTGTCTTCCTCTCGCATGTCTTCATCATATCCTTGCACATCCTTGCACTATGTATATACCCATGTTGTTTTTTTTTGTGAAATGAGCCAGTGGCTCTGAGGTTTTTAAACCTGCTTGAGGGAAGAAAACCTGCTACTCCCCACAGAAGCACTGGGTGTTTGTGCGAGTGACCATCTAGGTTTGGGGGGAGCCGTCGCCCAATTCTCAAAGCCTCGATTGCCAAAGATCAGAAACTGGAGCTCGGCGTCAAAGGCTGGCACGCTGGAAATCTGCGATAAGACCTTGGCTGTGTCTTCAGGTCCGCTGACAGAACGCCTTAGAATCAGAAGGTAGGCATGTGGCGGCATGTGGAGAACACCCACAAAAAAAACACCACAAATCAAGGGCCTAAAGACCAGGCTTTATTTGAAATTTAAGCTAAGTGCAAACGAGAGGCCATTTCTTTATCCTCTGGTCTTGAAGACAGGCTGTTGGCCACAGAAAGGTTCGTGAGTTTTTGGTAAGTTGACAAATCTTCTGCATCAAGGTCAAACGCTCGATTCGAATACATGCAAACGCTCTGAGGCATCTCCGCATTGTGGGCCGCCACCAATTCCGCGACACACCATGCTCGCTCGAAAACAGTAAACTCGCAGTCCACTGAGACCAGCTGTCGAAAGTTGGGGTTGTGCTGCTGAAGCCAAAGCATCATGACATGAAACTTGTTCAGTTCACATTTGTCTGGCTGATCATTCAACACTTTGGGCTCCTTGCAATCGCAAAAGCTCAACAGTTGACCTGTCGCTGTGTCTCTGCGGTTTCGATCCCAACGAACAAGTGCTGCTGGATCAGAGGGAGCCTCTCCAACACCATTACAAATGCTGGTGTGCTGATTCACACAGAAGCAGCAAATCCAGTATCTCTTGTACAACACACCTTCTGCAGCAAGCCTTTGCTTGACCTCCGTGAGCTTGCCACTGCTCATCTGTGATGCTATCTGATGATATTCATCGAGCCCTAGTGCATCTGACACAATCGCAGCCACCAAATGAAGGAAGAGGCCAGACCAAGTGTGAGTCACCATACAATCTGGCATCTGCTGGCTCAGCTTGCCTCTTGCTGTCAGCGCATCAGTGTAAGCAAGGCCTCCTCGGTCTACCCTGGAAAGGGGAATCACGGCCTGCCGGACTACATCTGCTGTGGTCGAGAGGAAAGGATTGAAATGCTTCATGGTCTCTCCTCCCAACTTATCATAGAAATCCAACAAGTTCTCCAGATCGATGCTGCGATGAGCGAGCTCCTGCACCTTGGCATTCCAAGGATTCTGCGATGAATCAAACAGCATCGACGCCCCACGCATGGATCGGATTTCCGGCTTGATATCCGGCATCTCAGGCTTCAGGATTCCCACAATGAAAATGAGCCCCATCACTTCGGCCACGATGTCTGCGAAGTGATATGCCGTGCCCAGAATGGCTCGAAAACCCCCATGGACTAGAAGGATGGCATGGACACAAAACAAGTGTGCGGTGATACTTACTGAAGCCGAAACTACAACAGCCAGTGTCATCCGCTTGAAGACATTCAAGGACCACTCCTTCTCCATCTTGGCGAAGCTTTGCTTTGGTACCGGGATCTCTCTCATTGCATTGGTCACGGACCAAAATGCACGCACCGAGACCAACAAGATGCTTGTGACCTGGGAAGCGGAAGCTGTCTCTCATCTGCAGTCTACCAACGGGGAAGAGGAATCAGCGTGTGCCGCCCAACGTGTCCCATTCAACTGTTGTTGTTGTTGTTGTTGTTGTCGTTTCCCCAATCACATCCATGCCATTATCATTAATCATCCTTTTCAAGTAAATGTTTGAACAAAACTCCAACTCGTCTATCCAAGTGTGGCAGCCCTCCGGGGGCATCCAGTTGGTTTTAAGCCCAGTGACACCAATGGCCGCAGTCAAATGGAAAGCTGCATAGGCCCAGTCGATTGCCTGGCACGAGTCATTTCGCACAAGAAGGGGCTGACGCTTGGTCAACGAGTGCATCGTGATTGCAACAAACCATATGTCCTCTTTGGATGATTCAAGAGGCTTGCGGAAAGACTTCAAAATCGCTTGCCAACTCAACTCTCCTCCAAAGACCCTTTCAAAGTGTCAATAAAACCAATAAATACGTAGTATAGAATAGTATAGAACAGCAAATCAACGAGACAAGGATCTTCGGTTGAACTGTTGTCCTTCACACCTGGTTGTCCTTCACCTTCCGCGCCTTTTGGGATCCGATCGCCTCCCCTTGCGCGCCGATGACCACCAAGCTCAGTTGGCACACCATGGTGAAGAGCCGGATCCGCCAGGCCACCTGCCGCGCCGTCCGACCCGTATCATATGCCTGTGATCTTCTTGTGGGTCTTGGATCCCAGAAACGATCCAAGCAAAGAGCCAACCAGAACCAACCCAGCAAGTCCAACGGCCTCTGATCACCCATTCCCTCACCATCAAGCTTTTCTCCCCCACCTGTGAACCCATAGGAGAGCCGAAGCCTCTTTCCAGCAAGGAAAGCCGGCACTGGAGCAGGTAGGTAAAGGCAAACTCGATACAGGCGCAGCTGGCACCCTGGAAGGAGGCCACCTCACGCCGGTGAGATTCCGGAATTCCACCCAGAACTTGGAGCCTGTTTTGACCCGACCCCGAAAAAAGGTAGCTGTACTTGGGGACCTCTCCTCTTCTCTATCTTTGATTAGTCTTTCTGCAGAGTACGACTCGACGGGCCAAAACTTGGAACGTCAGGAGACGACAATCTGGACTGCCATGGACAATCCTCGCAAGACCACCAACGAGTAGGCGGCTCCCAACAGCCAAAAGGACCATCCGGTCATCAGATAGATCTGAGGCTCAGAGAGTAAGATCGGGGCATCTCCTCGTCGCCAAATCAAGCAAAAGGTCAGGGCACAAATGCAGTGCATCGTGGCTAAGACTTGGTTGTAGGCAAAGGATCCATGCGGTGTGAAGATCACATGTTGATGGCCAAAGCCATATGGTGGTGCTGGCATACAGGCCCAGCAAATCAGAAAGACCTGCAGTGCTCAATAGGTGTTCCAGGTATCTTTTGAAAACCAGCCACCTATTTCCAGAGCTAGCTTTAAGCAGGGGCTCAAGGAAAAGTTTCTTTTCTCCTCTTCCAAGTGGCCTGCCCAATGATCAACAGAGAGATACCTGCAGCGATGTACCAGCTCCTTCTGCATGGCACCTCATTCGGGCAGGTGTGCTCTGCGCCTTTGGCATTGGAGGATGTCGAAGACGTCGTAGACTCAGGCGTCGAGATCTGAGAAGCCAAGATGTCCGAAAATGGAGCATCATGGCATGATCTCATGGCATGGCGCGGATTCTTCTTGGGTGAAACGATCTTGAGCCTATTTGTGGAGTGTTCAACCCGCCAAAGCCAAAAACAGCTGCCGGTATCAGATTCACAAAAAGGCTCTGCGGTGCCGTTGAATGGCAAAAGGACAATTTTATAGGTTTGAAGGTTGGCCAGGTTGGTGGTGTGAGTATGCTCAACCCATCCTCAATGAAACTTCAGGATTGGACATACTCAGCAGCCCTCCAAAGCTAAATGCTAAGCTGCCAAACTTCTTTCCATGAGACTTCGGCCCAAGGCTAGCACGTCGACCACCACCTAAGAGGTCGCTCAAGGGATCGTTCGTCAGTCATCTGTTGGTCGTCCGTTTGTGTTTGCAAAATCCGTTTACACGGGAATATCTCCAGCCTGTGGACGGACTGGTTGTGGCCATGGAGTCATTGTCGATGGCCAATGAAGATCTGGAACTCCTAGTCACGACCGCTCCGACATTGGAGCTTCTGAGGGTGGCCGCTTAGGTTGTCTCCTCATGATCTCTGGCTTGGAGGGTCCAATTAAAGAAATATCAAACGCTTGTCCCTAGCCTCAATTCCAACGGCCTATGCTCCTTTTCCGCGGTGCGGGCTAGTCGCAGCACCTCTGGCAGCTAGAGCACCGGCCACTCGCATCCAGCAAGCATCTCAGCGTCTTGCCAGAGAAATGCTCAAACACATCACATCCGTGGTCGAAGAGCCAGAGCACTGCACGCTCTTGGCCAGATTGCCTGATCAGGCCACAGGCTGCTGGGTCTTTCGCATTGAGCGTTGCTGTAGCAAGGACTCTACAGCAGCCCTGATTGGTCCGGCATCATCTGGGTTAATGCCATATCGATGACAGAAAGCGGCTTTGCGCTTCTCTAAGAACATCCTCTCAAGCTGATCCGGACCAAAAGCATAACCCCATGCTCCCAAATCTGTCAAGAGCTTCTGTGGCTTCTGTGGATCATTGAAAGCAACCCCCCGACTTGTGAGGAGAGTCTACCTTCAATGAGAAACCCTCCTCAGCTAGGCGGTGCCATTCAAACTTGGGACCCGGTCCAACCTGCGCTTTTGGATCTTGCACCACCTCCTCTGCTCCTACGAGGTTCCAGGGGTCCAGATTCCACCTGCCCCGGATTTCATTCAGCAGAGTTAGAAGTTCTTCATACTGCTTCTTGGTGTAGTCTTTGCCTTCCAGGGCAATGGAAATTGAATAAGATTTCAGTTCATTGATTTTGCCCTCGGTATCTAAGTAATCTTCCGCCGCAATAAAGTCAGCACCGCCCCAATATGCCAAGTTATAATCCCACGCCATTGACTCTTCATCCACTAGTAAATATCTGGTCCCATCGCTGCTGATCATGTAGTTTGCACTCATGCCGGTGTGGATAAAGCGGGCGACATAGTCTTTACAGCTGGTGCCTCCAGTGTGGTCCAGGATCACGCACACATTCTTTTGCTCCGTGCGCGACAAGACCATGGGCGCCGTCATGCGGTTCACACGCCGGCGGTGGGCCTTACGTTGATCGCGCACCTGGATTGTCCCATCCTTATGGGTGGTTTGCATGTCTTTATGGCTCTCATACCAAAGGAGTGTGTAGCCACTGGTGGGCGGCTTTGCAACAGCAGAGGGGAAGAAGTGCAGCCCAGGATTATCTTGGTCATCTTTGCTAACCTTGGTAGCAAAGTTGGTGAACAGAGTCGTTATATCGTCTGTGTTTGCGAACTTCGGGAGGAACTCTTTCACAAGCTTCTCAAAGGTCGTCTCCTTAGCACCCCAATCCTTGGCTGGAACACCAGAAGCAGTTGGAAACATCACGATAACATTGTTGAAGGAGGTGCCACTCTTCTGTTTGAAGGAGTCGCGAAGAGCAGCTGTGAACTTGCCTTGGAGGCTACTGCGGCAAGAGTTGATGCAAAAAATAAATGTGCATCCGTAGAAGGTCTTCAAGCGTTCGAGAATGTAGTCGAGAGGAACGCAACCTAAAAGACTTGTCGGCTTTCCCGGAAGGAAGTAGAATCTTCCTTCAACTTCGAAACCATGTCCAGCATAATAGAAAAAGTAGGTACCTCCGTGTTCAATATTCTCAAAATCCAAGCCGTCAATGAATTCTTCAACGGTGTTTGGTGTCACCACACTTGACTTAGCTTCAAAGCCTTTAGGTGAGCATTCACCTGGGATTGAACCAAGAACCCGCTGGGCCTCTTCATGAAGATGCTGCGGGTCAAGCACATTCCTATCCTTATCATCATCATGACTATCATCCTCTTCAATCCAGGCTCTGCTGTCGTCCCTCAACTCTGAAAAGTCTCCACCTACCATTGCCACTGCACCGGAGAACTTTCGTGGGGTTCTCTGCCTTCGCACAAGGTCAGATACTGACTGGATCTCTTCGGGCCTGATTGTGCCAAGCTCTTTCAGCAAATCAGATAAAGACTGGATCTCTTCAGACTTCATTGTGCCAAGCTCGTTCAGCAAATACTTCAAAGAATCGAATTCCTTTTTTCCCTCTTCGAGCCGCTTTTCCAAGACATTCAGCACGTTCAGCACTTCTTGCATTGCTCTAGTCACTCTAGTCCGTGACTTTTCCCTGAGCCAAACTGAGACGATGCATCCAGCATGAAACTGTGCTGTGGTTGCCTCTTGTGGCCTCAATCACTGCATTCACTTGAGAAGTGGTCCGCCTCGTCCCCATGTGCTGACAGGAGCACAAATTCTGTCTTTGTTGAGCTTCTTGGATACGGTGCCCCCCTACTTACTGCACCCGAAAAAGCACTCATGCATGTCCAGCAAGTGCAAATCAGAATTCTCCTTACCATAAACTTCGAGACAATCCCGAGACTGCCTATGTTCTCCAAAACGCCGCAAAGACTGGTCTTCCAGATCGGTGTTTTATGTGCAGGGCAACTGATGCAGTCGCTTTCAAGAAGCGAAGCGACTTCACCAAACCACGAGGGCTCCTCTCCCTGGAAGGTCACCTCCCTCACCTTGCGATGCTTGAGCTGTGCTGTGGTGCAGTCGTCCAAAGCGGCCCGTTTCAGAGCTAGGGCCCCAAAAGAAGACCAACCGAGCAGAAAAGATACCAGAATCCTATGTTTGGTGTCATCTGAGTCAATTCCATTGCTTGATTCCAAAACACTTTCACCAAGTACGGTGCGGGCCAGGCAGTGAAAGACTGCACTCTGCATATTCCAACAACCTGACGTTTGGACTCACCTCCCACCCGCCTCCAGTCTGAAGGCTGGAGAAGACTTCGGCGCACCTCTCTGCGGAATGACTCCTTACCTCTGCGGAATGACCTTCTAATCCTACTGATGATAGGTCGGAATTTCCATGAATTTCCACATTCATAGATGGTGTATCCACACTTCTGGCGGTGCCGGCGATGGCACCATCAACTTGAAAGAAGGAAGCTTTGCACCAAAACACGTGGCACCAGGGAGCAGCAGCCAAGGGTGCATGGCAAAAAAAAATTGCAAAAATTGGCATGTTCCAACCAATTATATATCCTTTCAGCCACAAGTCGTGCGCGCAGATTGAGGCTAGAGCAACTATAATCAAGTAGCAGACTTCAGTGGAACCAACTTCGCCACTTCCATTGGACAGGTAGAACGGTAGAACACACTGAACACATCCGCGCCAAGGTCGTTCATGACGCTTCCCGCTGACGGCCGCAGCGCACCGAGGAGTTCTTGGAAGACATCTAAGCCTTCGCGCCCCTTGGATCATCGTCGGCACTGCAGTGCTTCACTTGTTTTGGTCTAAGCCTCACTAAGACCATGTGAACGGTTTCTCAGTCGGTGTCTTAGTTCTAAGACTCTCCTTCGATGAATCCTCTCCTCATGATCAATGGCAGCAGGACTGAGCAACAGGCCTTTTGCGCGCTGATGGCCAAAGCACCACCAGGTCTGGCAAGCACCAAAGTCAAGTGAGAGTGTCTCACATATTGTCGGAACCAAGAGCCCTTTGAAAGCGGTATCATGCATCCCCCTAAGACAAGGAAAATATACAAGCATAGGCCCCAAGCAGCTTCAATACGATTCGCTTAGACCAATATTAGTCAAACATCGATTTCTTGGTACGCCCCACCTTCACCCCAAGACCAAACTGCTTCATCAATGAGCTTTTGTCGGCATTGACATCGCTATTTGTTCGGCCACACTCCTCTCCAGTAAGCCCAGCCACAGAGTTCAGGGGCGCGGCCAGTGAGTGTGGCCAGCTCTTTTTTCCCCAGATAGCGAAGCTACGGGGTTCTTACTTCAAATAGCAATGAGTTGCCCGCGCGCGCTTTCGAGACAGGTTGCTGGTGCTGGTGCTGGGTGCCGGTGCTGGTGCTGGTGCTGGTGCTGTGAGCTGGCTGTGCACGTGGTGGAGACAGGTTGCTGGTGCCGTGCCGAAGGTGGGTGCCGGGTGCCGGTGGTGCTGTGAGCTGGCTGTGCACGTGGTGGAGACAGGTTGGTGGTGCCGGTGCCAGGTTCCGGTGCTGGTGCTGTGAGCTGGCTGTGCACGTGGTGGAGACATGCTGGTGCTGGTGCCGGGTGCCGGTGCTGGTGCTGGGTGTCGGCGCTGTTGCTGGCGCTGGGCGCTGGTGCCGGTGCTGGTGCCTGGCGCTGGTGCTGGGTGCCGGGTGCAGGTGCTGGTGCTTGTGGTTGCTGGTGCAGGTGCTGGTGCTGGGCGCCGGGTGCCGGTGCTGGCGGTGCTGGCGGTGCTGGCGCTGAGTGCCGGGTGTGGTGGAGACAGGTTGCTGGTGCTGGGTGCCGGTGCTGGTGCTGGTGCTGTGAGCTGGCTGTGCGCGTGGTGGAGACAGGTTGGTGGCGCCGGTGCTGGTGCTGGGTGCCGGGTGCTGGTGCTGGTGCTGTGAGCTGGCTGCGCACGTGGTGGAGACAGATTCCTGGTGCTGGCGCTGGGCGCTGCGCGCTGCTGGTGCTGTAAGCTGGCTGTGCGCGTGGTGGAGACAGGTTGCTGGCGCTGGCGCCGGGCGCCGGTGCTGGCCAGGTGCCTGTGCCGGTGATGTGAGCGGGCTGCGCGTGGTGGAGACAGGTTGCACTGGTGCTGGCGCTGGGCGCCGGTGCTGGTGCTGTCAAGGGCTGTACTGTTTGCGCGCATACTGTTGTACGTACACTGTTCTATGCGCAACGTCAGGCTCTCAACGGACCATTGTTTCAGCATGTTTCAGCCTGCTACACACAAAATAGTCGTGCTGGATACTGCCTGGCCTTGGGCGAGTGAAGCCTACGGGCCTTGCCCTTTGACACGCGCAAGATCATACGGCCTTATCGTTCTACAGATCGTTGCTTCAAGCGTGCTACAAAGGCAATAGTGGCGCTGGATACTGCTTGGCCTTGGGCCAATGACACTTACGGGCTTTGCTGCTTGCGCGCATACTTTTGTGCACATAAACTTATACGCGCAAGAGCACACTAGGGATAGCTATGGGGTTCTTACTGCAAACTGAATAAGAATGAGCTGGCTGCGCGCGCGCTTTCGAAGGGGTGTCGGTGCTGGTGCTGGTGTTGTGGTCCTGGGTGCTGGTGGCTGAGCGCGCGTTTAAGACGGGCGGCGGTGCTGGTCGGGCGCTGGCGCCGCCCCCGTGTCAGCTGGCAAAGCGCACTGGTGCTGTCGTCAGCTGGTTGCGCGCGCCGTGGAGGCGCCGTAAGTTGGCTGTGCGTGCAGGCTGTGTACATTCTTGTTCCAGCCAGTCGCATGTCAACAGGTCGCGGGGTGCTGCCTAGCTATCTGGGTCTATGCTGGTTTAATTTTTCTAAGATAGAACCCCAACAGTAAACTGTTTGGGCAAAAATACTCTCCATCAAAGAGATGTGAGCGTAGTCTCACAGATGCTGCCACATCCTGCCATGCTGCCACATCCTGCCACTCTATATATGTTTTGAGGAGCTCTACTGTTTTCGCTTTCCACTTGGAAGGGCAGCTCCGGACCAAGCAGCTAGGCAGCTAGCAGCTAGGCCATCGCGCACCTCACCAAGCGCAAAGCCACTTCTGCCACCAAGGCGCCACGATCACCTTGGTTTCTGCTTTCGGTGCGGGGAAGAGGTTCCCTAAAGAAACGAGGTAAGCACAAGGTCAGCACGGCAGGTTAACAAAAAGGTGATGCAAAAAAAATGACGTGTCAAAGGAACTGGGTAACAGCATGGGTAAGGAAAAAGTTAGAGGAACTGGATGGAAAAAGTAATACCTCCTGTGAGCCAGATCACTAGAAAAAGTGACGGATCACTACCCACATCTTCGGACGACAAGTCTGAAAACAATGCAACTGCCACTACTGCGGAAGGTCCAACGGCGAGAACATGCCATGCACGAGATACGGTTTGTCTTCGCTTCTGTACCTGTGATCTGAAGCCTTTTGGGGTCTCTTTTGGAGCGTGGAGTTTAAATATCCACAACGATTGTCACTAATTAATTACAGCCACTATGCCGCAGCCCCTCAAAGGAAGACCTGAAACATTCATGATCTCGGAAAACCTACCGTGGGCACGCGCACCATATTCGGTGTTGCAGGCCATTCAAAGCCCAACGACGTGCGCATGGCCACGGCGAGGCACCCCAAATCACGTCGGAACCGATCAGCAGATCGACTGCCTTGGCAGATCGATGCCAGCAAAGTGGCCGGGACATCTTGCCGGTGAGGACAACAAAGAACAAAGGAATCAAGGTGACATGATCCCTATAAAATGGATCCTCGTTGAAGAGGTACGTCACAATCCCAAACTAATGCTGTTCGAGCAAAACCTTCGGCATGGTCCCAGCACAAAATCCGATGCCCCAGACAGTCAGAATCTTGGATCAAACTTAGGCCCGAATAGTTCGGGCCAAGGCTGATAACTCTTTAAACGGACAAAAACAAGTTCAAGCTTGTCTCCTCTAACCATCCGGGCTCTTTTCCCCACATCACTTTCGTTGTAGATTCCAGTCTCCCTGTCTCCTTGAGAAATCCCAGATCCATTTTGCTTCGAAAAAGGCACCCGAAGGTTCACTGACGTTTTTCAAATCCACTGTGGTCTGTTGTGCTCAAGTCGCCTCCACCGGCGCAGGTGCAGTCCCCTCCAGAAAGTCCTGGGTCACTCAATCTTGGCAGCTTCTTCAGAAACTCAGCTGTTCCACATCTGAAATGGTCCCAGAAAAAAGAATGGGCACAGCTATACTTAATATACATCATCTTCAGCTGTCCATGTTTGTTTGTCAAGTTAGCTTGTCCTCCCAAACAAGCTTTGCAGCCCTCACCTCCACCTGCACATCGTGCAAAGTTAAGAGGCCGGCTATGCCATCAGCGACAAACGCACTAAACACTCAGTGAAACTTGAGGCATATGGATATACCAAGCTTCAAAGTTCATGTTGATGTCGACAAGATATTTCGACTCAGCCACTAGCATCACTTATATACATTGTTATTACACTTAAATTCTATTTATTGTTTCTACTAGCAAACATTGTTCCTAGTAGTAAGGCCAGGAGCCACTAGTTAGTAGCGATGCCCTTTGCTCCTACCATCGTGGCACGGTGGCGCTGAAATTCCGAAACTCTCCGAGGGCGTCACAGGTCTTAGCCTCTCCTGGTTGGCCGCCACATTTGCAGCCAGGTTTTGAACCACCGCCTCCATGCCAAATGAGGACGACCTAAACCCTGTTCTTTTTATCACATTAGACAGTGCAATAAGAGCCACCACACAAACCTCCAACGGTCCACTTTCTCAACTCTTGAAGTCACACATGGGGTGTCCGTCTGTTTGGACGTGTTTATGAGCTAAATGAAACATACAGGACGATTCCACACGGTAAAGCAGGCGTCTTTTTCCG